TACCCCCCCCCCCGCCCCGGTCCCCTGACGCACCCTGAAGCACGCGGGAAGCCACGTCCTGGGTGCAGGGAGAGAGCGGAACGCGAACGGCTCCGACTATGCGGGTGGCGGCGGCGCCCAGGAAGGACCTCCGGAAGCTGTGTGCGCTCAGACGCCACTCACCGTCTGCGGGGGCGCGGCCCAGGGCGGCCGCCGCCAGCCCCGCCACCGGGCGCCGCAGCATGAGGGGCCACGGCGCCACCCTCGGAGACGTGCGTCGCAGCGCCGCGCCCGCCCACTTCCGCTCGTGGGGCCGACGTCAGCGCAGCGCCCTGAGGGCGGTACGTAAGCGCTGCGCGACGGAGTGCGCGCCGGCGACTGCGGCTGCGCCGCGGAAGGGCTGGTGTTGGCTCGGGGCTCCGGGAGAGCGGCGGTAGGTGCGGCGTCGTGCGGCAGGGACGGCTTCCCCAAGGGCGGTTTCGGGTCCCGCCGGCATCCTTCTGGGCAGCTCACGGCTTTCCCCTCTCCCGCCGTGTCGCCGCCTGCAGTGCCTGCTCTGCCAGATAGGGGGCAGCGAGACACACCTGCACCTCCGCTCGGCCGTGGGGTCTGAATGCGGAGACCTCAGGCATTTGGTTTTGAAACTTCTGGTTTGTCACGCGGGAACCTCAGCACAGACAGAGGCTTCCTGGGAGTAAGGGCTTAGTAAGAGTACCTGGGCCTCGGCTCCTGCCACGCCACAGGGTCCCTTACCTCGCTGAATTGTGAGAATTAAATGACCTTGGAAAACAAGTTTCTGTTGCACTCCATGCTCAGAGCAGCTTCCTGACTCTAACTCACGAGAATGGGCCCAGGCCCTGCCCAGAGTTACCGAGTCAGGCTCTTTGGGAGTAGGGCCTGGGCATCTGCTGATCACAAACCTTCCGCAGGTGATTCTCATGCCAGGTTAGGGCGAGAGCGTGGCAGGTTACTGGGAGAGACGGGCAGTGACCTGGGAATAACACACCTGTTTTTAGATGTGATTTGGTTTGTGGCTTTCTTCTTGGCTGGGATTTGGCAAGGATCAATTCTGTTGGAAAAGCCGGCCTGTTAGAAATACTTTTCTTGCCCGGCCGGCGTGGCTCAGTGCTTGAGCGTCGACCTATGAACCAGGAGGTCGCTGTTAGATTCCTGGTCAGGGCACATGCCTGGGTTGTGGGCTCGATCACCAGTGGGGGGCATGCAGGAGGCAGCCAATCAATAATTCTCTCTCATCATTGAAGTTTCTATCTCGTTCTCCCTCTCCCTTCCTCTCTGAAATCAATAAAAACACATTAAAAAAATACTTGTTCTTCCTCAGCAGGTCACACACTGGGCCAGTGACTGGTCTTGGGCCTCCACATGCCACAGTGGCCCTCAGGAGGAATGGCAGTTGTGGGCAGCATGCTTGGGTAAGCACCAACTTCCAGGCCTCTTGTGATTGCTGTCATGGGGTCACCCAAAGGAATATCAACTCTGGAGCCTCAGGCCGTGCTGCCCTAGGGAAGCCTCCCAAGCCAGTGTGTTATCTGGAGAATATACACAAGTACACATGTACAGATGCTTTGACAGGGTGTTGAGGGAGGAATAGAAGCCACTTGTGACTATTTAGCACCAGACAGTGGTGGTGGTCACTTTCCTATTCAGACCCTGCAACCAGTCTCTGCTCTGGGTCCCTGGAGAATGCCATGGCTTTCCTGCTGTTCCCACAGGCCCTGTCTGTTCCCCTTGCCCCATTGCTTCCCCCAAATGGGAAGCATGGTATGGTTAGTGTTGCCAGAGGAGAAAACGAGGGCAGGTTCCTTGTTTTTGTGGAATCTGGGGAGAGGGATGTGACACTTGGAGTCTGAGTCAGTGTGAACATGGGGAAGGAACTCTGGCTACAGCATTCCTTGGAGGGCCCTCATCCTGGGAAAGGTTCATGTGGGAACCAATGCTATAGTGGAGAACACCAACATTCTCCAAGGATTGGCTCCATCCCCTTCCAGAAGCCTCCCCAGCCCACTGATCTCAGGTTCTCAGGAGAGGCTGTGCCCTGGGCTCCCTGGCACTGCTAGGCATAGGCCCTGCCTGACTGCAGGCTCTTCTGGTGCTGGCGCTCCCCCACCACCTTCTTTCTCCTGTCTTACACTTCTGAAGGCAGGGACTGGATTCATTTGGCCAAAATTTACTGAGTGCTCAGCTAATGGTAGGACTTAACAGTCAATAAGTTGTGGTTCTTGCCCCCAGGCCATCAGAGTCTAGCAGAGGAGATGGGCCCTCAGCCCTGGGTGTCAGCTAGGAGGTGCAGGAGGTGGGTCTAAATTCAAATTTGCATGAAAGCCACGCTGTAGGGGACTTAGGGGGTCACAAGGCAAGGCCCCAAGTGGGTGAGAGATGGGGCAGGGCAGGGCCTTTTGCCTCAGAGTATGTGCTTTTCCCCGTGTGGGAGGTTTTGAGTGTATGCCATGTTCAGAAGCTAGTGGGCTCCACAGGTCTTGCTGGGCTCAGGCTGCCCCAACAGAACGCAGCAGACCAGGCAGCTTATTTCCCACAATTCTGGAGATGTTCTTGGTTCAGATGGCCACCTTCTCCATGTCTTCACAGGGCAGAGAGAAAGCCAGTTCCCGTCCCGTATAAGAGGGCACCATTCCTACTGTAAGGGCTCTACCCTCATGATCTCTTGTAACCATAATCACCTCCCAAAGGCCCTGCTTTTGATGCCTTCTTATTGGGGGTTAGGGCTTCAACATGTGAATTTGGCGATCCAGTTCACAGCACCAAGTCTGTGTTCCCCTAAAAGACTGTTTCCTGCTCCATGCTCATGTCCAGAGCTGCAGACATCTAGAAACTGCTATCCTAAGTCCCCTGTCCTCAGCAGTCTGAAAGTCTCTGTGCTCACCCCCCTTGGCCTCTTCCAAGACATGGGGTAGAAGGTGCTCTGACCATATCCCAAACCTAGGCGATCCCTGTGGGCACCCACAGGAGCTGGCCATTTTGGGCTTAGGGGGCACTCTGGTCCCAGCACCTGCCACTGACCAACATATGTGTCTGCAGCCTGTTGCAGCAGCATGTGGTGATAGGGGCTGCCCCTGTGGTCCGCTGCCTGCACATATCTTCGCGTTGGGCTGACAGCAGCAGAGCTTCGCTCACTCGTGTGCACAGACAGGCCTATGCACGCCTCTACCCCATGCTCCTGGTCAAGCAGGATGGCTCCACCATTCACATCCGCTACCGGGAGCCCAGACGAATGCTGGCGGTAAGCTTCCCTCCCTGGGGTGCAGGTCTAGGCTGGATAGGGAGGGCGGGGGGAGGGAGGGCAAGTTATGGAACTCACTCCACACACCAAGACCAGACAGCAGCAGCAGGCTATATGTAAAACAAATTTAAAGAAACACTTCCTGGGTAAACAAGCAGAAATTTCTTTAAAGAGTAGACGCTTTGAAGGGAGAGAAGTGGCATACACTTTCTGGTCCCTTCCAGTGAATGAGTGCATGCCTTCCCTTCCTCTCCAGATGCCTGTGGACCTGGATGCCCTGTCCCCAGAGGAGAGGCGGGCACGGTTCCGCAAACGGGAGGCCCAGCTCCGAGGGAAGAAGGAGGAGCAGCCAGAGCTCCTTGACAACTTTGACCTGGAGCGGTACAAGCAGTTTTGGACCAAGAAGTGATCATACCCACAAGCTGCCCTGGCTCAGGATGCTGTAGAAGGGGAGGGCATTCATCTTTAAATTGAGTGTCAGGATTTTAAAACCACCTTGTCTTTCTTTCTCATACACCTGCTGGACAGGGTTCACTGCGACTGAGCCCACTGGAGGGATCATTTGGGTCAAATTGTGGTTTTAGGAAGAGCTTCATAGGGCACATGAGCTGTTGACATGACAGAAGTCGATCGAGGGTGCTCCTCCCACTGCAGGAAGCGCCTGCTACTGTCCAGCCAATTCTCAGCTCTGGAGCCTCCTCTGCCAGCACTGCCTTTGCCCCAGTACCAAGGGCTCTCCCAGGCAGCACAAGAACATGGGGAGTGGGTGGGATCCAAGGATGGTAGCACCTGGCCTGCAGCTGGCATACTCTGCCCCTCTCCAATGCTCCCCTAGCCCTGTGCCCCTGACAGTGGGAAAGTGCTATCTGACAGAGGGGACAAGCAGAGCAGCCAGCCCCATTGCTAACTTTTTAAGTCTTGGCAAAGAGCCTTGGTGGGCTTCTACCTTTTGCCCTTTCCTGCAAGACCTGAGTGAGCAATTACCAACTTTTACATAAGCAGCTGACCAGGCCTAGACATGGGGCTGCACCTTGTCCTGTCCTGTAGGTTGATCATGGGACCCTGGCTATCAGGCTCTTTTTCATAAACCTGAGGGCCCATGGTAGAACTGATATATAGCTAGACAACGGAGAGGGCATTCCAGCCATGACCAGGGAGGCAGAAGCCTGTGGGAAGTGACTCTGCTCACATGGAAGGATGCTAGGCTGAGCACCCACCTTGGACTCATACCTTGCAATCCTGCCCTGTGACCCACTGAGCATGCAGCCAGCCATTTGTAGCTCCTAGGGTGGCTGCCCTACATGATCTGCCAACCCTCTGGCCTGCTCAGGAACATTCCCACCTGGGCAGCCTCCCTGGATCCCTCAGCCCTTCATCTGCTGCTCCAGCTTATTGCTTACTACTCACCTCCAGGGAGGCACCTAGCAACAGTGTCTGTACTCACTGTTCAGGGCCAAATTATTCATGACACTATTGAAGATGTGGGTGCAGTGGGGGGAAGAAGTTAAGTATTGCATGGAAAAGTGTGGATTTATGCCAGGAGCAGGGTAGGGGTCAGTGCTGGGAAGTTACTAAGAGTACTTACCTGATGGGGGTTCTGGTTAAACCCATCTAGCAGGATTGCTATTGAAGGCAAGCAGGTGATCAGACTTCCACTGGGAATGAGGAATCCAACTAGATATGGAAGATGGGGTTTCTTGCCAGAACTGGAGGTTTAAAGATGGACCTAGAGGCCCAGTGCCCGGTGAGAGAGTTCTGAGGAGCCTGAGAAGGATCAAGCAGAGTTTCATCTGCACTCCCTCCATTAGGGGGGTGGTGGTGGTGGTGCACTCTATAGCCCCTCAGCTCCTTCCATGCCTTTTCTATTCCTCCTTATCCCCAGTCACCTCACTCTAAAATGCCATCAATGCTGATTACTCCCAATATCCAGAGTACAGATGGGCCTTCCCCATGGGGTAATGTGAGTTTGGGAGAGCAGACTTAGAGCTGACCCTGCTGCTCCCCAGCACCTCCTGCGCCCAACTGGCATCTAGCCCTTGTTAGACATGGCAGTACAGCCTCTGGACCCTCCACAACTGCCCTGTAAGGTGCCATGCCTCCCACCACAAGCTTTCCTGCACGGCAGAGCTGCTAACCCTCACTGGAGGCCCCTGAGCATGTGCAGGGCAAGTCTGGAGCTCCCACATGGAACTGAGGCTCAAACTTGACTTCGTGGTAGTGTACTACAAGGCTGAGGTTCAAACCCTGTTGAATCCCACTGTGGGAGCCTCCAAGTCCCAAAAAGCTAGTGAGGGAATCAGTGGTGGCCAGGGGAGCAGGTAGAGGCCTCTTCTTTGCCCAACCCACTGAGTACTTGCAAGACACATAAGCAGGGTACACACTAGGGCAGTGATGGCGAACCTTTTGAGCTCGGCGTGTCAGCATTTTGAAAAACCCTAACTTAACTCTGGTGCCATGTCACATATAGAAATTTTTTGATATTTGCAACCATAGTAAAACAAAGACATATTTTTGATATTTATTTTATATATTTAAATGCCATTTAACAAAAATCAACCAAAAAATGAGTTTGCGTATAGGTTCGCCATCACTGCACTAGGGCAGCGTGCTGTAAAGGAACCCAAAGAAATGACAACCCAGGGAACGGCCTATTACATGTCTGCAGCTACCCTACTGAACGGGCCCTGCATTCATTATTCCATTGCCACCGAGTCAGGTCTGCAACAGGCTGTGGTGACAGGTGGGACGCACTTGTCCAATGACCAGCTGGTGGAGCCTCCGCCAGCACTGGGGCAGGAGGGGGCAGAGATTCTCCGCAGCGTTGCCGCCAACCAAGCGCGATGGCCTACTGAGACCACAGCTGGGTCCCAGCGCCGTGGCCAGTCCCTGGTTCCCACAGCTGCAGACGGGATGGCGGGAACCTCGGTGCGGCTGGAGACTCATCTCCCCAACTATTCCTCCGGGCACCTGTCTGTGGGCCCCGGTACACGGCGCACATCGAGACAGTGACTTTCGGGCGCCGCCCCTGGATCCTGGCGTCACCACACAATAGGACTTCTAATAATAGCTGTCCGGCCACTCGGGTCCAGCTTCTGACCTTTCCGGGGTCGGGCTAGGGCGGGAAGTGTTCTGGCGCGTGGGTTCGAAGCCAGAGCCCAGCGGCACAGGCGCGTACTGCGACGCGGGGCTGGCGCTGGTGTGACGTCACGGCGCGCGACGCGGACGTCAAGGCCAGGAAACCGAGGCCCCGGGCGGCCTGGAACCATGCCCAAGCGGCAAGCGTGTTGTGTGTTGGGGCGGGGGTGGCAGCGCAGGACCAGTTCAGTTGGGAGGACTACTTGGGTGAGCCCAGTTGGAGGCCGGGCGTGCGTGCCGAGGACTGGCCTGTTCCCGCAGGCAACTCGCTGATGGCGCTGGTGGGCCGCGACCTCTCCTGGTACGCTAGGGGCCGGGCGCACGGCGCAGTGCTGAACCGGGGAGGGACCAGAGGTGCTCTTGGCGGCGCTGTGTGACCGGGACGGGGCGCGCTGGGGAGGCCGGGCCGAGGTGAGGCCCGCTGCCCGACACTCACGCACGGCTCCACTGAGGCTACAAGAACGCGAAAAAGCCTACTGGCCTGAGCAAGGAGGTGAGGGACGTCTTTCTCGAGGTGGGAGTGGGATGGGGTAAACTACACGGTACCATGAGCTCCTGCCAGCCTTCCCACGTGACTGTGGAGGTCTGGAGGCTCAAAGGAAGTGACCCCAGGGGAAAGGGGAGCTACAGGTGCGGAGTGGGGGCCCTAACGAAGGGCAGGGGGCTCGGCCCTGTCAGCCCACGTGGAAGCTGGTATCCGCAAGGAAGACCTGGGCGAGTAGGGGTGTGGAGGGGTGGGGGAGAATGTCTCATCCGTGTACCCCCTGACCGAATGGCATTGTCGCGAGAAAACGAGGCAGCTAAACTGGGGTTCTTGGTATTCACCCCCCCAATGTCCTGGCATTTCATGGGCGTAGGGGCCTAGGTGCCTTGTTCCTGCTGAGGGCTGGGGATGGGCCATCTCCCCTCGGGGACCCTCTGATCTTCCTGACCCAGGAAACGGGTTGGTTCTCCAATCGGCATGTCTGGGAGCCCTGCACCCCCTAAGAGTGGCTCCCTCCGCAGCACTACAGCCTGGAGAGCAGTGGTGCCAGGAGCCTCCCTGGACTGTAAGACCCAGAGGCCTGAGAAGGTGGAACTGGGGTGGAAGGGCTTGGCTGGGAGTATAGGACTCAGGGCTCTCAGTAGGCCTGCTGACTTCCTCTTGGGCTAGTAATGTTCCTGTCTCCAGCTCCTTTTTCTTCTGGGGAGCCTCTTTAGGTTGGGAGCCTGGGCCATCGCAAGACTGCCCATTGAAGCCCAGATAGCCCGAAGTGCATGGGGCCACCTGTTGTGGAGGCCACTTAAGGGGTGCAGGAGGAGATACTATCTGGCAAATGTGTTGGAAGGGAGCATGAAAAGGTCCTACAAATTTTATGCCTAGGTGGGAAGGCTCCTATTGGAGCTGCCCATTATGCTAGTCGCTGGCCACATGTCATACTGAGGAATTTCAATCTGAAATAGCCATATGTGGTGACTACTGTGGTCACTGCTGGCACTGTGTACCCCCCCTCACAGCCCTGAGAATCAGAAGAGCAGGAAAAAGAAAGAAGCACAAGAATGAGGAGAAAAATAGCACAGGACCAAGGTAAGCTTCCTTGATGTCCCTGGCTCCTGCCACGTAGGAGCAGCAGCTCTGCCTTTGGGCTGGGCCAGGTGGTAGACAGTTCCTCATACTCCCCAGGGCTTGGCATCACAGGCACTACTCTGACTTCTTGCCCTGTTGTAAGAGAAGGCGAGGGCATGACAGCGACTAAGACCCAGCTCACTCCAGGCAGGCCCTGTCCTCAGTGAAGCCTTTGAGCATGTGCCCCGCCAGGCCCAGGGAGCTGGAGAGCAGGCTTCTGGGGGCCCTACCAGGACCCTGTAAGCAGGCAAGGTATCTAGATGAGGCCTCACCTCCAGGTGGCCCCAGGCCCATCAGAGGAGGACAAATCTGCCCAGGAGAGACAGCTGTCTACTGCTTTAGGCTCCAGTTATTGCTACCTTCTATTTGTCTTTGTGTTGACTCATCCTTTGTACTTATATACAGTAGGTCCTCGGGTTACATCGGAGATCCGTTCCTATGGCACCACGTAATGTAATGTGATTTCGCCATAAGTCGGAACCCACCTACATAAGCACCTATGTCACTCACATGGAGCACATACACAGCAGCAATGAAGTGAAACAGTAAAAAAAAATTTAAAAGATAACAATTCCTGACCTTTACTTGTGGTAAGTAAATAATAAAAAACATAAAGCACATATGGTAGATACATTGAAATGATGGAACTTTTTAAAAAAATAAATATATGGGAGATGGTGATGTAACCATAAAACGACGTACGTCAAGTCCGACGTAACCCGAGGACTGTCTGTAAACATATTTTAAGCTGAAGTGTCCTAATAGAAAGTGATGTGTGAAAATGTGTCAGATGCCTTGGGTTTTAGCAGGACCACCTTAGATCTATCTCACTAGGTAGGGGACTCCTAGTGGTGGTGGTGGGGGCGGGGGAGAAATTGCTCACCTGCAGGTGGGCCTTTCTGAGGGGGAAAAGGCAGTCAGAACAAAGGTGCTTATAATTGGTGGATGGGGGGTGAAGGTGATTTTATACTTGGAGACACCCTTGTTCCTCAGGTACCCAGAGACCTGCTACCCTGTTCCATGAATCTGCTCTGCTTCTCCCAGACAGATCTCCAGGCACACCTCCCCTACCCTCCCTCCAGTGCCTCTGCTAGGAGATATGCCTGCAGCCATTCACCACCTCATCCACACAAGAAATGAAAACTTACAATAAATCACATTGGAGTAAAGACAAAACCCAGGCTGGATTATGAAATATATTCAATTTTGCTTCTGATTTTTTAAAGAACTAAAAAGCAAAGATGATTCTGTCTTCAGAACCCTGGCCCTGATTATCGACATGTTAGTGAGACTAGATAAGAGGGCTGAGGGCTGGGCCACACACAGGGCTGGATGCCCCTGGGGGAAGGACACCTGGACCTTGGATTGGCCAGGTGGAGGGTGCCCAGAAGGGTCAAAGGCTCCCAAAGTAATGATATGGAACTAAATCACCGTAGGTGATCCCAGGCCCTGGCCTCTCAGGCACACCCCACATGGGGATCTTCTTGGCCCAAGACTAGACTGCTAGTGGAGACAGACCAATGACAAAGCCCCTCAGGAGTGCTGGCAAGAAACTGGTCTGGGGTGAATCAGGGGTTGGTCACATTCTCTAAGCCATCCCTGCCTGTGTCCCAGGAGGCAGCCTTGGTCAGTGGCACCCAAGCACTGGAAAGCCATGAAATAGTTAAGAGATTTTATTCTAATAGCTATAATTACAGTGCTTGTTTGTCGAAATGAAAACTGAAAACAAGTATACAAAACAGTTGATTACTAATCGTGTATTGAAAGCAGTAAGAGGTTCCACGACACCAGATAAACCAGTTCTGAGGTTTTCCCCAAGATAAATTTTAACAGCTCTAATTTCTTCAGTGTTTATCAAAATACAAAAGAAAAAAGTAGAGGTTGTTGTTTTTGATGTCAATCTGACCCTTGCAGGCTGAGGGAGTGAAAGCACATGTGGACGGGGGCTCTGAGGAGTTAGGCTCTAAGATGACCGGTCACCTGTCTGCATTCCTACTGGTGAGATCCAGACAACCTGGAGCAAGTGAGTGTGTGTAGGGACCATGGGGGTCTCCCGTTCTGACCAGAGTGGTCCCACCAAAGCACCTACGCTGACCCACACTGACCGAAGGGAAGGCTGGGGTCCCTCCAAGGGGCCTGAGTGGTGGCCGCAGCCCCCAGCCCACCCCCATAGGCAGTGGTGTAAGCACAGGTACAAGCACAAATGCTATGGGATGCAGATGACCCAGCAAGACAAAGCCAATCAGGGACCGTAAGTGACCATGCAGAATGTACTGTGGCTAGTTCTGCCCACTGCACGCTCCAGATGGGAGACAGACCACAGGCAGACTGGACTCAAGCCATTACTGCAGAACCTACACTAGGCACATTTCTCCCTTTTCTGTGTTAAAGTGTCTCCTTACCTTGTATTTATATTATAAAAAATGTACTGAGTTTGGGTTAAAAACCAACCACCAAAATGGATCTCAACACAGATTTAAAGCCCAGAGGAGGAGCATTGAGGTGATCTCATAGCAACTCCTAGAGGCCCCGCCCTGGGTGCCCAAAATCCCTTCTCAGTACTAAACAGTGGGTTGATTCTTTTTTTTTTTTTTACAATAAAAAAAGCTGAGTAATATTGCATAGGAGTACCAGAAACTGCCTCATTGGAAACAAGAACTATTTACATTAAATAAAAACCCGGTTGCAGGCTGCGTCTGCACATGTACAGCATGATGAAGCACACTGGGACCGACCATGGAGACAGCTTCTGGCACTCACACCACAGGGGCACATCTGCCACATGAGAGGAAAGCAAGGGCGAAGGAGGGAGTGAGGGGGAAGAGAGGAGTTCGGTTCACTTCTGGTTCCGGAGCTGATTGGACAGCCAGTCCAGTCCCTCATAGAGCCCGTCCCCACTGGTGGCACAGGTAGCCTGAATGTACCAGTTCCTGTGGCGCAGAGAGTGGAGGCCCAGCTTGTCCGTGATCTCAGCTGCGTTCATGGCATTAGGGAGGTCCTGGTGGGAAGGACAGGGTGGCATGGCAGCCATGGATCATCAGGAAGACTGGGATCCCTCCCCACCTGACCTGTGATCCCTTCAAACCCCCAGCCCCTTGGGGTGACTCAGTCACATATAAGTGCGTACCTGCTTGTTTGCGAACACCAGCAGGACAGCATCCCTGAGCTCATCCTCCGCCAGCATCCGCATAAGCTCCTCTCGAGCCTCATTCACACGCTCTCGGTCATTGCTGTCAACCACAAAGATGAGACCTGCCAAGGAGCAGGTGTCAACGAAGTTGCTGAGGACACCCAACCTCTCCCTCAGGCCATGGCCCCCAGCCCTCACCTTGTGTATTCTGGAAGTAGTGGCGCCACAGAGGCCGGATCTTGTCCTGGCCACCCACGTCCCACACAGTGAAGCTGATGTTCTTATACTCCACAGTCTCCACGTTGAAACCTGCAGGAACACGGCCCTGTGTGAGCCAACCCCCAGCCATTCCAGCCACCTCCCCAACCCCCCATGGCCTGGCTTCCTCACCTATGGTGGGGATGGTGGTCACGATCTCACCCAGCTTCAGTTTGTACAGGATGGTGGTCTTCCCCGCAGCGTCCAGGCCCACCATGAGAATGCGCATTTCTTTTTTGCCAAAAAGGCCCTTGAAGAGGTTCGCAAAGATATTCCCCATGCTGTGTAGACTGGAGGGAGAGACACTGGCCAGAGAAACCTGCAGAGACAAGGAAGGGGTCCCTGGGTCTCTTTCTATGCAACCCAGGGTTTAGCACAGGAGCAGCTCAGAGACAACCTACCCTCCCACCATGAATGGAGAGACAAACATCCTGCTTCCTCCTGGAAACCCACGGGACGGGAGCTAAAGAAATCCCAGTTCCCAAGCTACAGGAAAAGAAAAACAGTCTGTCCGCTGGGCACTCAAGCCCCTCGCACCCCCCAATCACCCTTAGAAGGAAGAGTCTGGGAATCTTATGAACAGGGTTGACCTTTACCACCTGACATCCATGGCTTTCAAAGGAATGCTAGACTCTCTCTAATCTTTTCAAGGGGGCCAGAAACAACTGAACCAAGGCCCCATAGTGTTCCTCCACTGACCCACCAAGCCTCAGTCAAAGATGGACCAGGCTCAAGATGACGAGTGCATGGGGAGCTAGACTCCCCTCCCCCGGAAAGAAGCAGAAGCCAACCTTTCCCAACACACTGAGAGCTCCGCACTCACCCCGCAGCAGGCCGGACATGGGGACCACACCTGGGCACTGGGTTCAAGGCACAGCAAGGGCCCCAGGGCAGCACATCAGGGGCGGCTCTTTCCCACCAGTGGAGGTCACCCCTGTCCCAGAGAGGAGGGGGCCCGGCCCAAGTGGTGTGGCAACACGCTTATGTGAGAACATTCGTGCCATGTCTAGGCCACACTCACCCCAGGTTCCCCTCACATCATCCAGTCATTTACCACCCAAGGTCAGAGAGCAGGCAGAAAGGGCCAGGAAGCTATAGGCCAGGAAGTGTAGGCTCTCAGTCCCAGAAGGCCCCTAAGCACTGGTGCTGCCCAGGCCTGGCCTCTCCATGCTGCACCACTGTTACTCTTCAACTTTTATTCTAAACAAGAAAGAAACCGTCACTCTCTCAAATGCTGGTGAGCCTCCCCCAGAGTAACCAACAGCTCCCAGTCTTTGAACTATGAACAAACACTGCTGAGGTCAGAAACCAGTGAAGGACATCATATGGGCCTAGCACAGGCATGCCCCACTGCACCCACGTGGGGCGTGTCCAGACCCTCAAAGCCCCATGTCACCTCTGATAAAAGGCTCGGGTCTTCTCTATTCTAAGTTCTCTCCACCTGAGCACTGAGTGACAATGTACACACCCAGCTCATCAAACATCCACCCTCTCAGGTTTCAGTACCTTGACATTTCCTGGCTGAACTGCCATGACAACTGTCAAATAGAACTTTTCTAATCTAGTCATTCCTCCCAGCTGTTAGCATTCTGCTGTAAGAAACCACCTTTCCTTATCCAAGTATCTACATGAACACGAACTCACATTCCTATTTCACTCAATGGGTCAGCTGCCCCATCGTGAATGTGATGCTCCAGTGGTCCCAGACATGCCCAGTAGAGCTCTTTCCAAACTAGCTTCAGTGCACTTTTGACACTTTAAAAAAAATGTATTTTTATTGATTTCAGAGAGGAAGGAAGAGGGAGAGAGAGAGATAGAAACATCAAAGATGAGAATCATTGATTGGCTGCTTCCTGGAACACCCCCCCCCCGCCCCGCCTCTGCCCCCGCCCTCATCCCCACCACTGGGGATCCAGCTGGAAACCTAGGCATGTGCCCTGACCAGGAATCAAACTGTAACCTTCTTGTTCACAGGTCAACACTCAACCATGGAACCAGTAGGGGGCTTTTGACATTTTAAAATTAAAAACATGGGTAAGAAAGGGAAAACTGGGAGAATTTGAAAGATCAACATCTACTTGGGCATGCTGATGACTTTTTAGATATAATACCAAAGACATGATCTAGGAAAGAAATAAGTGATAAGCTGGACTTTGTTAAAATTGAAAGCCTGGCCAAACCGGTTTGGCTCAGTGGATAGAGCGTCGGCCTGTGGACTGAAAGGTCCCAGGTTTGATTCCGGTCAAGGGCATGTACCTTGGTTGCGGGCACATCCCCAGTAGGAGGTGTGCAGGAGGCAGCTGATCGATGTTTCTCTCTCATCGATGTTTCTAACTTTCTATCCCTCTCCCTTCCTCTCTGTAAAAAATCAATAAAAAAATATATCTTAAAAAAAATTGAAAGCCTGTACTCTGGGAAAGATACTTAGGAGAAAGAGAAAACATTTGCAAAAGACACATCTGATAAAGGAATGTCATCCAAAACACACGAAAACTAGTTAAAACCCAGTAAGGAAACAAACAACCTGATTTAAAAATAAGTCAAATACCTTAAAAAATACATATTTTTATTTATTCAGAGAGGAAGGGAGGAGAGAGAGATAGAAACATCAACAATGAGAGCGAATCATTGATTGGCTATCTCCTGGGATTGAGCCTGCAACCCAGGCATGTGCCCTTGACCGGAATCAAACCTGGGACCCTTCAGTCCCCAGGCTGATGCTCTTTCCACTGAACCAAACTGGCTAGGGCTGGGTCAAAGACTTTTTATGGCAGTTTTTGTGAAGGGAATACTTTGAGGATATACAGCAACAGGAGCTGGTGAGAATGCAAAATGGTGCATCCACGTTGGAAGGTTTCTTACAAAACGAAACATACTCTTACAAGCAATTGTGCTCCTTGGTATTAACTCAAAGGAGTTGAAAGCTTATGTCGACACAAAAATCTGCACACAGATGTTTACAGCAGCTTTATTGATAATTGCCAAAACTTGGGAGCAACCAAGATGTCCTTTAGTAGGTGAACAAATAAACTGTGCTACAACCATATGATGGAATATTATTCAGCACTACAAAGAAATCAGCTATGGCAAGCCATCAAAAGATAAGAAGGAAACTTGGTGTATTACTAAGCGAAGGGAGCCAATTGGAGGAGGCCACATACTGTACAATCCAATTATCTGACATTCTGGAAAAGGCAAAAACTAGGAGGCAGTAAAAAGATCAGTGGTTGCCAGGGGTTGGTGGTGGGAGGGAGGGAGGGATGAATTGCTGGAGCACAGGTGATTTTCAGGGCTGTGAAGCTACTATGTATGATGCTGCAATGGTGGTTACTCTGGTGGGAGATGTTCATAGTAGAGATTTCCCATACCATGTGTGTAGGGGAAATCTCTGTATCTTCTCTTCAATTTTGCTGTGAACCTAAAACTGCTCCCTTAAAAAAAAAATCAACATCTGACTAAGAATGAAACAAACCCATTCACTCAAGGCAGACTAAATTCCAGAACACCAAGGGTCAAAGAACTTTAAACTTAGTATCCAGAGATCAGAAAGAAGCGCACTGTAAACCACTAATACTAGGCAAAGTATGAAGTAGCTATAAGGCAGAGCAAAAGTCAGGTGAGAAATGCCAGGTGGTCCCAGGCCTGAGCAGCGGTCAGCCCAACCATTACTACCTACATGGTTTAAACGTGGGGCTTGGCAATTCCAGGGGAATTGGGAAAAAACTAATGACAGGTACATAGGGAAAAAAATGCAAAGACAAAAATGAACAAAAGAAAACATAAGACAGTCACCTCTTAGCTCAACAGTGTACAATGTTTATTTAGTCACAATAGTTACTGTTATTTGCTAAGGCCAGAACTTGTGGTATGAAGGGCCCACCCTCACCATCCAAACAGACACACTCATACGGAGGTACAGTCAAATGATGAAAGGGCCATTCCTGAGAAGCAGGATGGAGGACTGCTATTTATGCTTGTTTTATTGTTCAAGTATCCCCTTCACAAAAACTGACAAAAAACACACCCTTACTCACCAAGGGGTTAAAAGGTTATCTGTATCCTCCCCAACCCCATTAGGGCAGAGGGAACATCTCCAGGTAAAACTCCCACACCTGGGTGTGGCCTCTGTATGCATAGTCCCTATCCCGTCCGTGTCTGAGTCCTGATTATCAGCATGGTCCCCATCCTCTTCACTCTGTCTTTAAACAGATCAAAGTCATGTAGCCTCATAGAGGAAAGTCACACTTGGTGGCAGAACCAGGATGGGGATGAGCACCAAGTCTCAAGACTTAAGGTACTAGGATACACAGCGTTTTGTCTCTCCCCACTACAAGCATCTGTACCCACCTTGCACCTGGCCCAGGAATCCTGGTGGCTTCCTGGCCTGTCCCCTCAGCACCGTTTACTGCTTTGTCAGAGGTCCAGACCTAACACAATATCTGTTATAACATATAAGTTCAACACTGGCCACCAGAGTTGTGCCATCCTCTTGGCACAGATTCCAACTTGTGGGGATGGGACACCCAGCCCAGGTGCTATTTCATCTTTTACTCTAACAGAATCCCCCACACTCAAGCAAAATCCGTTTTCAGGTTCATCGTAGTAGTGAGCAGAGAAGACACTTTCTCAGCAGAACCCTTCCTCCGCACCTGTGAGTCTGCAAATGCTCAATCTAGAAAATGCAAGAGTAACGGAGGCCCTTCTCTGAGAGCAGACAGGACCTTTAGGGTAGCATTCCAGCACTAAAGCCAAGAATAGAACACAACTCCCACATGCAAAGATCTAAAGGCCAACAAGGCAAATGATGGGGCCTCCCTGGGGAAAACAACCATCGGACGCCAATAAATGACTGCTTTAAATGCTTTAGAGAAATAAGTGTACCTCTGCCCTCTACCTGGCCCTCTGCATCACCACCAAGCCTCAGTGGTTTCAAAAGAAGCAGAGGTAGCTCTGCTTCAGAATTTGCAATCAGACTTGTGCAACTTGTCTCTGCAGAAGGAAAGTCTGTCAGGTTTTCTGAAACCGTTAGAGCTGGTTTATGTAACAGAATCTCTTTAACAGTGAACACCTAGATGACCTAAATGGTTGGGATCACTAGGAAGACACCACCAATGCAGAGCATAGCTTGGGAAACAAAACAAAAAGGGTGACCCAGGGACCCAGAAAGGGAGAACTGAACTTTGCGCTGCAGATGGGATGAGCTGCATTGGTCTTCTCTGTAAATGGGGGTTAAGATGGATGAATCCCTACTCAAATGAACAGCTGGGTGACAGCTTTTTTTCCTTTTTATTTTTTTTCTCTTTTTGCCTTTTTAAAAGT